AAGCCTATAATATTAGTTCCTAATTAGGACTCCTAGATATATAAATAGGGGACTTAAGAGGCACCTAGAACCCCCTCCCCCCCCACCACAATAATCCCTCACCACACAAGAAGTTCCAAGAATTCCCCCAGGAGAAATCAAGAAAGAAGAAAGCATCAAGAAAGACCCTTCATAGCCAAGGAATTAATTAAGGCTAAAAGGTAACCCATGTCTCAACAAAACCTATTTTCATAGCTATGATTCCCCTCTTAGGATTTCCCCCATATTCTTGTGTGTTGACGATTCATTATGTTGATCTTGGTAATTGGTGTTATGATTCCATGGGTGATCTTGGTGATCTTGATGGTATTAAGAGGCTCTTGATGATTATATGGTGTTCTTGATGTTCTTGATGATTATATGATGTTTATGTGATATTCCTACCGAATCTTGATATTAGAAGATGAATTGTGTTCTTGTTGATCTAAAAATAATTAGAACCCTAGGTTGTATCGTGGAATTCGTATGGTATTATTCTTGGTATATTGGGTGGGAATTCGTATGTTTGGGTGTTGATTATGATTAGAAAAGCATGATAGGTTATGTGCCGTATATTCTTGCTTTTGAATCCGTTAACTGTCTACGTGTTGTTGTCAATTGTGTTTGAAAGTGTCTAAGCATGGTTTCGGGTTCCACAAAGGTTCCCGGGGCGTTTTTGGTGAAAAAGAGTCAGTGGGGGGTAGGGGACCCGCCACCTACCCGCGGCCAACATGGGCAACGCCGGCAGCGGGCTGCCGGCGGGCGGGCAGCTGCCCGCCCGGCACCCGCTGCCCGGAATTACGCCGCCGCCGGGCAGCCGGCGGGTGAACCCTCACCCACCGGCTACCCGCTGGAAAATACCCCACTTTGGGATTTTGGCTTCACCGTTTGATGTTCCCCCGACCCCCGTGGTGTCCCAACCGACTCCGTCTATCGTGCATTTGTCTAGTTTGATACTCTGGGTACAGTTCGTAGGTTGTATGAGTCTTATATATTGCATGCTAGTTGAATTGGTATCCCGTTGACCTAGGTAAAAGGAGTATGTACCTCTTAGGATTATTCTTAGTATGTGAAGGATCACGCATAGGTTTTGTTATACGTTTTTTCCCCCTTCCCAATGTGTTAATGTGGGTTGCATGTGCTTGCTATGTGTTATGTGTGCATGATACCCCAATCCGGTTGCGATCGGATTGGTTATTCCTGAGCTGCGGTTCAGAAGCTGGCTGCGGTCAGATTTACACTCTCGGGCTGCGGTCCACCGTTTGGTTGCGATCAAACATTTCTACATGAGCTGCGGTTCATATTTCCTGGCTGCGGTCAGATGACATACTCTTGGGCTGCGGTCCACTATTTGGTTGCGATCAAACTATGATGAGCTGCGGTTCATCGGTCGGTTGCGATCGACCCCTCCGTGTTGCGATACGGGGCAGGGTGCTGCGGGGCCGTGTCAGAGCTATATGCGCTGACCCTCATGTATGGGCATGCGATTGGTCCTGTGGCGCCAACAAAGTGTGCTTGTGTGATGAGATGTGGTTGAGTTGTTGCTATGAATGTCTCGGGATGTGACCTTGGTTTTTATGACGGGAATCATATATGTCGGGTTATGGATATTAACTGTGCTTATCTTTATATGTCGGGTTCGGACATTCCCCTTGTGAGAATTGGGGAAAAGTTTCGCCTTGATGAAGTCCAAGATGCCCTTGTCAGCAGGCTTGAAATACTTGTAATCCATGTGGGAGGCTACACCCCCCCTGATATTCCATTCGGCCGCTGGGTGGAAGAATTTTGCAATCCGGTCTAGCCAACCCGGGTCCATGTGGCTGCAGCCCATATCACCATGAAAGTAATCATCGCCCTCATAATTATTGGTGTCGTAGTATTCATTAATAGCTTCCACCGAGACGTCTACCGGTACGCCCCGGACGGTGCAGATATTGGTTTGGAGGCCATCCTTTACATTTGCATAAAATTCACGCACTAAATTGCTAAATGCTTCCCCCGGTTGAGCAAGGAACCGGGGTCCCCAATTCCACGCTTCTGGGACTACTATATGTGCGCCCCGTTCTTTCAGGACCGTCTGGGTAGACATCAACTGGTGATATCGTTGTGCCGCCGCAGTGGTTGCAAAACGCACATACGGTGCCACGTCTCGTGGTTGCCCCCGGGCTTGAGAAGATTCGTCCCTTGGCCTTTTAGAAGGTTGGCGGGCTCTGGGTGCCATAGGAGGAACCTACAAAATACAAAATTAAAACAACAAATCTCAAGTACTTGACCAAGCATTCATAGCCAAAGTATCAAAATTGTGTTTAAGGTTCCCAAACATCTCAATAACGGACACAAACTTCACTTGGGCATTTAAGCAAGCACCTTGTGGGCATAAAATTACAATATATATTTATGAACAATTTGACAAGTTTAACAACATCCCAAGTATTACACCATCAATTTATGGATACAAACATATTTAGACTATAATAAGCACATCAAAATTCTCAAATTGTTCAAAATTAGGCAAGAAACTCATTTAGGTAATTTATCAAACACCTTGCGGGCATGAACTTTAACACTAGGTTTATGCAAAATTGACCTATCAAAATCATCCCACAAGTTCACCACACAACAAATCAAAGATACCCATCATCAATAGCAAGTTCGACAATCATCCTAGACGAAAATAAAGAATTAAAACTCACAAAATAAAGCGAAATAGAATTCAAACAACAAACAGATAAAACCTATGAAATTAAATTAAAATTTGAGTGCAATGGTTCCAAATATAGCAATAACAACATATATATAGCAACAATCAATAACAATAAGCAATCTATCCATCAAAATTTCGAGATTAGGGGAAAAATTCGTGGGTAGGACACCTACCCAAAAATAGAGCAAAAAGCACCTCAAAATCAAGAAATTAAAAGTAGAAAAGAGTGTTGATGTTACCTTGTAGTTTTAGGGAATGAGTGGAGAGACGAATTGGAAGCAATTGGACTTTGAATGTCTTGGGCGAGGGTTTTGCGAGGGAAGGTCTTGGAGAATTTGAGAAGATTTTTAAAAAAAAACCTGTTGTTCGCGTTTTTAAAGTTCTGTTCTGTCTCGTCTCGACGCGTCGAGCTTATCGAAAAATTCCAGCAAGGAATTTTCCAAGACGGGGTAGATTCGACGCGTCGAAAATTTTCAGTAGGGAATTTTTTGCCTAGGTCAATTTTTAGCATTTTTACTTAGCCGGAAACAACCCTTACATCGCCGATTAATACTGAAACCAAAAACCACTCAAATTTATCAAAACAAAAACCGAAATGAAATAATAAGCATGGATAAAAATGCAAGAAATTAAGGGATAACATGGGGGTGCCTCCCATGAAGCGCTATGTTTAACGTCGCTAGCTCTACTGTACCTCCTTTTTCAGGTGTCACATGTAGGTCGGGAGACCAAGGCGATGTATCACATTGGCCTTAACCTCCTCGGTTGAATAGTAGTTCTTCAACCTTTGCCCATTGACTGTGAATTCCTCTTGCGTTCCACGAAGCACCATGGCACCTGATGGATATACCTTTAGCACTTTGTATGGCCCTGTCCATTTGGATTTCAATTTTCCCGAAAATAATTTCATCTTTGAATTGAATAGAAGGACATCGTCTCCCAGGACAAATTCTCTCCTTAGAATGTGCTTGTCATGCCACCTCTTGGTCTTCTCCTTGTAGATTTTTGCATTGTCATAGGCCTCAAGCCTAAATTCCTCAAGCTCATTTAGTTGATGTAGCCTCTTATCACCCACAAGTTGCAAATCCATGTTGAGCGTCGTGACTGCCCAATGGGTTTTGTGTTCCAACTCCACAGGTAAGTGACAAGGCTTCCCATAAACAAGTCTGAAAGGTGAAGTTCCAATAGGATTCTTGTAAGCGGTCCTATACGCCCATAATGCATCATCAAGCTTTGTGGACCAATCTTTCCGAGATGGATTGACCACCTTCTCAAGAATGGACTTGATTTCTCGGTTTGACAATTCCACTTGGCCATTGGCTTGGGGATGGTAAGGAGTAGAGATTCTATGATGAACTCCATACTTCTCAAGAACTTTCTCCAACGCTTTGTTGCGAAAATGTGTCCCATTATCAGTGATCAAAGCTCTTGGTACCCCAAATCTTGCAAAAATATTCTTCTTGATGAACTTGATGACAACCTTGGAATCATTAGTAGGACAAGCAATGGTTTCAACCCATTTGGAGACATAGTCCACTGCCACTAGGATATATTCATTACCAAAAGACTTGGGGAATGGACCCATGAAATCCAAACCCCAAACATCAAATAGCTCCACTTCAAGAATGCTTTGTTGAGGCATCTCATTTCTCCTTCCCACTGTGCCCACTCTTTGGCATTTATCACAACGAGCCACAAAAGAGTGTCACTAGTACAAAATAGTTCACAGGCGTCTGTTGTTGGAATCAATAGGCGTCTGTTCTGCAACAGACGCCTATGAACCAGACGCTGATTGTCATGACTTTAGGCGTTTGTTGTTCGTAGACTTCTAAAGTAGGCGTCTGTTCTTCACGAATATAAGTACTTTTTATTGGTAAGGACAGACGCCTATTCTCACAATGCTAAGCAATATTACGTATTTTAGGTGTCTGTTACTTTTGTGAAACAGACGCCTATTGTTCTTTAATATATATATATATATATATATATATATATATATATATATATATATATATATATAATATTATTTGGCCACCTTGCTACAGTACATTATTCATCCACAATATTATTTTTTAGCAACACATTCAATAATATCCATTAACGATCCAATTATATTATATTGCACAATCCACAATATAATCAAAGTTACAAAATCTACCATCATATCCAAACTAGCTACAACATAATATAATATACTCCAAACTACAATAGATATAATCCAACCATTAATATCTAATTAAGTACATACTTCGTCAAAACACGCACAAAATATATGACATTATACACATTCTTTACAAAAATACTTAGCCCACATTTCACGAATCTCGTCTATTTCTTCAATAGAGTATGGCGTTGTGCGATCTTGAAATACCTACAAAAGAATTATTAATTGTTTTAGTAATAAATTATAATTAATTTATTAAAAAAATACTTAGGTTATATCGTTTTATATGTACCTTATCCAAAGAAGTATATGTGGAATACTTTGTGCATAAATCATGCATATATTTCATAACATAGTATCCACACTCAACACCTCCCGGTTGTTGAGGGCACTAAAAAAACAAATGAAAATAAAGTAAATATTATTTCATTTGTAATCAAGCTAACAACTAAAAAAAAAAAAAAAAAAAAAAAAAAAAAAAAAGCTAGTAAGCATTGTTTTATTTTACCTTAACATTCTTCCATTGAGCAAGATTTTTTGCTCTTTGACCCCGTTGATTCATATATGATCGGAATGCCCTATAACATTAATGTATAAACACAATTCATAAATTATAACACCTAATATAAATAACTTTATATACAAATATACTTTTACTTACATATTCACCACAGGCTTGAGTTGTATATCCTGGTCACGTTCCAAAGGATCCAAAACATATACCATCCTCGAACAAACATTAATCACTAGAAGCAACCAATGCTCTCTACAATTTATAAATACATACATTGCACATTTAATTAGTAATAATTCAAATTCACTTATATAAACACAACAAAAAAATAGATTACTTACGATTGATGGTATGGTGCTAAAATGAATGTCTTGTCCTGCAATGTGACCATAGTTTTTCCAATATATGCAATAACAACATCACAATTCAAATCAAGAGTTGCCTTTGCTATTTGTGTTGGACACAAAAATCCAACTGAGTCAACCCCAATTTCATTGCACAATCGGTGAAGATACCTGAAAAATCATTAAATAATACACTAATATCATTAAGTAATACATTACTAAATAATTAAGATTTTCAAATGGACGAATATACAAACTTACATTATAAAGACTTGTATAATGGATACATCAAGCCATTGCATTGTCAACAAGTCTTTAATATCATTCATCATCATGAATATGCTTCTCACATTGGTATGGTGAAAGATATTAGAATCTAACTCCAATTCAAAGTAGTCCGTATCATTAGGCATCGATCGAAGAAAATTGTGCAACCAATTGCACTCAAACCCCAAGCTCTTCAAGGTATCATCATCAACTAAATTGGGTCGTACTCTAGTACACGATTCCTCTCCATAGTCATAATTCTTTTCATTCATTATTCTCTTTTCAACTTTTGCCTTCATCACTATATCTTCCTATGAAGAGAAGAATTTGTAATTATGTTAATAGCTACAAATAATAGGAATCCAATAAATTATATATATATATATATATATATATATATATATATATATATATATAAAAGTTCATACCTCTCCTATACCAACTAAATGTATAGGCCATTGTACAAAACTTCCAAAGGCATCTCCAATCTGCGTATAGTCTTGAGTGGGTACTGGTAGAAGAAATGTTTCTCCCCCCTCAACAACCACTTGATCCACTGACACCTTAACATGATTTGGTAACACTAATTGGTTGCGCACTAACGTGTCAAATTGAGTTGGGTAGACCATCCCTCTTGCAACTACTACTATGTTATCCTCACCAGTACATAAGGCAAGACGACATGGAGTCGGACTCTATCATTTAACACAAGATAACAAAATAAATAAAGCATGACAAATGGATACATTTTTAATATTATAAACATTTAATATTACCTCAATAAGGGCAAATGGGTATGGATCCACCGACTGGCAACTACTATGAACAACTGGTGGATCAACAACCTTAAACACACTTTGTGGCGTGCCCGCAGAAGCTCTAAGGTCAACATGTGAGGGTGGGGGCATTCGTTTCATTAAGTCCTGAACTTGACTGTTTAGGTTCTCAATCGTAGGTTGCATTGCTAACATTGTTTCTTGCCTTACTTTTTCAACCAAAGCTTGGACATCATCCACTGGAAGAACTCCTCTCGATCTTTCCTTACTCTTCTCTGGTTTTCCAAACACTTTCCTAATAGATACATATGAACCAACGCCTCTCGCGGAGCCTGAATGGTCTTTCTTACCAAGGGCTTCTGATAATACATCATGATGTCTATAAGGTTTAAATGACCCTTGGCTAACTTTCTCACACTTCTCAACATATTTCAAAAAATAATTAAACTATATATTAGCATTAACGTTATTATTAAATTATTTATGTAAACTATTCCTATTAGTAATAACTTACAATATTTTGAATGACCCCTATTGTTTTGTCATTAGGAATGTAGTAGTTTCCATCATCTCCTTTTTTAGATCTTGCTCGAATCCAATCTAGACCACGGTCATTTGGCGCAAGCGTCGAGCTAATAGATGCACAAGAAGATTGAGATGAAATAGGATCTGTTACAAGCCACTGTGGCGTTTTACCTGCATATCCCGCCGGTCCTAAATAATGTGGATGTAGATTTTTTTGTTGCCTTGCCTTTGCTTTTTCACTTATTTCCTATAAAACAATAATTTAAGAGATATGGTAATTTTAATAATAAGACATTCAAACTATTATCATGAATGGAGGTTGTTCTGAGCTGCAAAAACATGCAGCAGTTTTGTTTGGGTTGGAAGGGGATTAAATGTTTGCTTGTTTGTCTTAAGTGGATGAGTGTAATGATGCAAGTTGAATAGAGAAGTAGTAGGCAAGGAATCATGCATGTAAAGCAGCAGCAATTAGAAGCCTTAAATGGTGGAGGGCTGCTGTTGTTTTCCCCTTATTTTGGTTCTAGAATACTGGGAATAAAATGCATATAGATGGCAGGTATGGCTCTGGGATTTGGTTTGAGTTCTGGGATTATAAGTAAGGAAAGAGGCTGGAATTCTGGCTAGAATATTGGGGAAGGGTCCATGTAGCTTGGTGGACCAATGGAGGTTTGGTAATTGAGTTGTATGGCTCAATGGTTCTGGAATTTCTGGAAAATATTATTTGCTGGGAGAGTTAGGAATTATTTTTAAAAAAAAATAAATATACCTTGAACTTATCTATCATGCGGCTTGCTTTAAAAGTATTCCATTGTGCATCGGTCAAGTGAGTATAAAATTCACATGGAGATTCATATTTTGGGTGCTTCTTGTTAATGTACTCACGGGTTAATCTTGCTTTGAAATCCTTCCACCGCTGCCCAGCAACCTTTAATATTGTTTCTTTCAATTGATCATCTTCAATGTTGAACACTTTCTTGGTTGCACATAGACACACAAAAAAAGAAATGAAAGAAAAGATCGAAATCAATGGCCAATAGGGGTAAGAGACATACAAGGTGAGGGGTTCCCTGGGGAATTTTGTGGGAGGGTAGATTCTGTATTTCTAGTAAACAAGCTAGTCTAAGAAACTAAACCTAGGAAAAGGAATAATAAATAAAGTAGGTATCAAACCAATATAGGAAAGTAAAATATTAAGATACTAAATTCTAAAAGTATTGTATACCTTAATATCATCCCATATTGTATCCTTCAATCCATTCTCAACTTGATGCCAATCACCAATATTGATATCCACATGCAACCGAACCAAAGTGCCAATGTAGGACTTGAAGCTCTTCCCGAACTCGCCGACCGGTCTATGATACTCATCAAACTCAATATTTATTACTTCATCCCCCTTCTTCTTTTTCAATTTCTTGCAGGTTGTCGGACCTCTAGTCTTCGGGTGTGATTTAGAGTCTGAAGTAGATTTTGAAGTAGAATGCAAATGATCGACCATGATGTTTTATCTACACATGCAAAAATATATGTCAATATTTTGATGCATTAATGAAAATTTCAATAAATAATAATCAATACGCCAAGCAAATAAACTTACAAATTTTTAACAAATAAATTATGTGTGATGATCAACCCACAAGCCTTCCCCGTGATCACAACGCATATAGCTTGTTTCAATGACATCTTCCCCTAAAGGTTGAATACCAATAGAAAACGGAGGCATTTCATCATAGTGATCATATTCTTCTTCATCCACAACATCTCCAACGCCAACAATACTTCGTTTTCCTTGTAATACTACTGACCACTTACTATTAATAGGATCAGAAACATAAAAGACTTGTTTTGCTTGAGATGCAAGTACAAATGGCTCATCTTTGATAACCCAATCGACCAAAATCTACCAAAGTAAAACCCAATTCATCAATTCGAACACCCCGTTTGTTATCCACCCAACTACACTTGAATAGAGGAATAATGAAAGCCTTATAATCAAGTTCCCAAATGTTTTCAATCACACCATAATATGACATAGCAGCATCTACTGGCTTGGTATCTCTAGCACTAGAGTAATCTCTAGATAATGCTACTATTGTAACTCCACTATTTTGCACAGTACTCTTATCATCTTGACATTTTGTGTAAAACGTATATCCATTAATGTCATATCCTTCGTAATAACTGACAAGCATAGCAGGGCCATATGCTAACCACTAATGGTTTCAAATCAAAGAAAAAAAATAATAGTCAATACTTATTTTTAAGTATATTAAATGAGTTAATACCCAAAATCGTCCTCGACTATAGTGGTTTTTCTCAATTTCGTCCTAAACGACTTTGGTGACCTAATATCGTCCCAGACTTTTGTGTTTCGCTCAATTTAGTCCTCCATTTGTTATTCCGTCAAATTGGTGTTAAATAAAGGGACAATTCAATAATGTCAATATTGATCTCTCTTTACTTTCAACTTGTGAAGTGCGAAATTCCTCTTTCTTGTACGAATTACACCCAGAATTACTCCCGGACCTGCAAATCAAATTTTATATTCGCAGTTTTAGGAGTAATTCTGTGAGTAATTCATAAAAAAAAGGGGATTTCGCAGTTCACATGTCTATGAGTAAAGAGATGCCAATATTAAAATTACTGAATTGTCTATTTATTTAACACCAAATGGACAGAATAACAAATGAGGGACTAAATTGAGCAAAAATACAAAAGTCTGGGACTAAATTGAGCGAAACACAAAAGTCTGGGACGATATTAGGTCACCAAAGTCGTTTAGGACGAAATTGAGAAAAACCACTATAGTCGAGGACGATTTTGGGTATTAACTCTGTATTAAATTATCAAATCAATAGTCAATAATTAATAAGGTAAAAGTCAATATGTCAAAGTATTGTATAACTTAATGGTTTCACTGATTTTATTTGGCACTTTAGATAACTCTCGCATCACTCTATCTTTGAACCAGCTCATAAATGTGTGGTTGTGCTCATTGGTCACCCACCTTTCACCCTTTGAAGGATTTTCATGTCTTAACATGGACAAGTGTTTGTCTAAGTATGGATGAACCTCATATATATGTTGCAATACAAGTTGGTGAGCTTTATCACGCATATCAGCACTTGGTATATCTGTTTTTTACCCAATAACACCTTTTCCTGTAAGTCTACCCTCGTGACGAGATTTAGGAACACCAATAGATTCAACATTTTCCAAATAATCAGTACAAAACTCTATCACCTCCTCAGCAGCATAACCTTCAATGATACTACCTTCTGGTCGAAATCGATTTCTCACGTATCCTTTAAGTATCCCCATGTATCTCTCAAACGGATACATATACCTTAAGAATACTGGACCACACAATTTAATTTCTCTCACCAAGTGAACAATTAAGTGCACCATAATGTCAAAAA